AGAGAGAGAGAGAGAGAGGAGGAAAGAGAGAGGGGGAGAGAGGGCGAGAGAGTGTGAGAGAAAGAGGGAAGGAGAGAGAGAGAGCGAGCAAGAGAGTGACGGGAACAGAGCGTGCCACTGCACTCCAGCCTGGGTGACAGAGTGAGATTCCAACTCAAAAAAAGAAAGAAAGAAAGAAAGAGAGAGAGAGAGAGAGAGAGAGAGAAAGAGAGAGAGAAAGAGAGAAAGAAAGAAAGAAAGAAAGAAAGAAAGAAAGAAAGAAAGAAAGAAAGAAAGAAAGAAAGAAAGAAAGAAAGAAAAAGAAAGAAAGAAATGGGATAAATAAGGCCAGGTGTAGTGGTTTATGCCTGTAATCCCACCACTTTGGGGGGCTGAGGCAGGAGGATAGCTTGAGCCCAAGAGTTCAAGACTAGCCTAGGCAACATAGCAAGACCTCATCTCTACAAAAAAAAAAATAGCCAGATGTGGTGGCATACATCTGTAATACTCAGGAGGCTGAGGCAGGAGATTTGCCTGAACCTAGGAGGTCGAGGCTGCAGAGAACTGTGATTGTGCCACTTTACTTCAGCCTGCATGACAGAGTGAGATGCCAACTTAAAAAAAGAAAAGAAATGGGATAAATATAACCGACACTGATGAGACTGAAGCAAAGGTCTTAATATGGTAATATTGAAGGTTGGACAGATCAAAGGGACCCCTTGCTAGTCCCCCTACATGAAAAGGCCCCAAACAAGTTCTATTTACCCCAGTTTAGGAAAAAAAAATTAAAGCCAGAAGGTAAAGATTACAATGAAAAATTTAATCTGAAGTTGTTTGAGGCAAGAGTCAGATAGATTAATTACAGTAAAGATTGACAAAAGGACCAGGGTCTTTTGGCTAAGCCCCTCACTAGGGACCCAAAAGCCTTTTGCACACTCATGTAAGAAGGGGCTTCAATTAAATTGACAGAACATAGAAATGTAAGAGTTGATAGGATTAAAACGAAGATTTAGATACAAATTTGGATGTTTATGTGAAGAAGCTGTGTCTCCTTTACCTAAATGTTTTATAGGAATGAAAGTTATGTCTGACTAGGGAACACCTCTCCCACCTAGTATTATAAAACTAAACTTGAAGTCCCAGTGGAGGACTGGGACTCAGAAATGTAAGGGCTGATGGGCTTAAGATGAAAGTTTGGAGGAAAAATGGTATGTCTGAAGTTGTTGTGTCTCTTTTACCTGAATGTATTATGAGGATGGACATTGTATCTCTGGGGAACTGTCTCTGTAAAACAGAAGGCATGTAAATCTACCCTTCAAGCAATATTTCTTTTCTTTTTTTTTTTGAGTTGGAGTCTCACTCTGTCACCCAGACTGGAGTGCAGCGGCCGCTCCCGGCCACCACAGCCTCGACCCGCTAGGCTCCGGCGATCCTTCCACCTCAGCCTTCCAAGTAGCCGGAATTACAGGCATGCGCTACCACACCCGGCGGAATTTTTGATTTATTGTAGAGATGAGGTCTCGCCAAGTTGCCCAGGTGGGTCTTGAACCCGCGGTCTCAGGCAATCCACTCACTTCAGCCTCTCAAGGCACGGGATTACAGGCTGAGCCACCGAGCCCGGCCAAGCAATATTTCTTAAACATGCTAAATGGGAACATACAAGATGGCCTGAACTCACACAGTGAAGAAGAGAAGCTGGAGTGTGGTATGGACAAATTCTCTTTAATAGCTCTATGCAAAGTGTAGACTAGAACTTATGACAAAAACCTGTGAATGCTTCTCAGTGACAACAACTATTGGGACTTTGGACTAGAGTATTCCCACTTGAGGGGCAATTACAAGCCGCTACTGGACAATCATTGAAACTGCCCCTATGATTGAAAGACAAACATAATTTTACAACCTAAAATACCAATGAAGTCTTGGATGATGTCAGAGAAATGCTCTAATGGGGAGGGCAACGTCCAGAATAAAATGGAAACGGTTTACACATTTCCTGTTACCTGGGGAATGCAAGGATGAGGTACTCACGAGGAGGGGACTTCTTTTCCCCTGGGATTTACTTGGGAACGGTGTGAGGAGCTACTGAAGTCTATTCTCACTTGCACAGTGCCTTACAAAGCAGTCTTTGACCAACAAAGAGCTGCTTGGTTTGTAGATGATAGTTCTAAGGTAAATAGACAATGTCCTGTTTGGAACACCTTTACTGTAATAGAAGAAGGTAAAAACAAATCAGCTCATGGGTTATCTGTTATTTTCCTAGCAGTGATAAAAGACTTGAACAATGACAAATGCCCCTATGCTTCAGTTTCTACTGATTCATGGGCAATGGCCAATATCCTGGCCATATGGTAAGGCAGGAGGGCAATGGAAATTTGGCCTATTAAAGGGATTCCCATATGGGACACAGCCTATGGAAATCATATGGGAATCTGAGGGGTGCATTAAAGTAGGACACATTGATGCTCAGCAGAACTCCTTTTCAGGTTGGGAAGGTGATCGCAACCAAGTGGATCTCATGGATGCTTGCTTGAGGGGACCACCTGGGCCCATGAAATGAGTAGCCATGGTGGGGGTGCTGCAGCCATGCAAAAGATGGGCTGACTTTGGACGTATTTCTCTTGCAACCTCTGAGGCACAAAATGCCAACACACTGTTCTGTCTGCTAACAAAAGAGACAGATACTGCAGATGGGAAGATTCCCTGGGGGGGAAGACCCTCACACATAGCTGGCAAGTAGACTGCATTGAAGAACAAATGCTGGTAGTTCCGGGGGCTACAGATGGATTTTGACAGTGACAAATACTGACTCTGGACTGGGCTTTGCTTACCCCGTGGTAAATGCAAATGGTCAGAGTACCATAAAAGAATCAGAACAGAGGACACTGCACCAATTTGTACTGTTGAGTCACATTTCATCAGACTAAGGAGCACTCTGTTTACAGCCCATAATGTCAAACGACAGGCAAGGACATATCCTCAGAGTAATAGTTTCATAGAGAACTGGAACAGGCAACTGAAACATTGGTTGTCAAAAACAAGGTGAGGTGTAGGCATGAAGGGCTGGTTTACACACTTGCATGAGTGTGTGCTCACACTCAACATGAGCTAACGAAGTGTCCCAAGTAGGCAGATACCTCTGTTTTTCTGGTGGATCTAGGAAAGAGGAGGTGGGGGAGAATGCCGGTGTGACTACACAATTCTTCCCAAAGGAGAGGATGCTGGTGTGATGACTATCTTTTTATTCCTTTTACACATCACTTCAACTTTCTCTTTCCTACTGGATGCAGTGGTCACAGGACTGCAACTACAAGTGCCAGAAACAAAGATAATTCCTAAGTAAAAAACTATAACTATAGTTTTATTTTTTATTTATTTTATTTTATTTTTTTGAGTTGGAGTCTCACTCTGTTGCCCCGGCTGGAATGCAGTGGCATGCTTACGGCCACCGCAGCCTCGACCTGCTGGGCTCAGGTGATCCTTCTGCCTCAGCTTTCCAAGTAGCTGGAACTACAGGCATGTGCCACCACACCTGAATAATTTTTTGATTTATTGTAGAGATGAGGTCTCACCAAGTTGCCCAGGCTGGTCTCGAACCCGTGGGCTCAGGCAATCCTCTCACCTCGGCCTCCCAAAGTACTAGGATTATAGGCATGAACCACCACACTTGGCCATAACTATAGTTTTAAACCTTCATGTCAGAATTATGAGGCAGGTTGTGCCTTCATCCCATCTGGCAAAATTCAGGTTAACCATGAATGCCAGTCAGGCACAGTGGCTCATGCCTGTAATCCCGCACTTTGGGAAGCTGAGGCAGGAGGTTGGCTTGCACCTAGGAGTTTGAGACCAGCCTGGGCTACAAAGCGAGACCTTGTCTCTAAAAAACAAAAATAATAGTAATGAATGCAGCTATATTTCCTAGTAGTAGAAAGAGCCCACTAATTCTCTGCCATACCCTATATATATGGGAGCGGACTGAGGGAGAGTTCCTTGCTAGACTAGTATTGTCACCTACAAACTGGACCAGCAGAGTGGCGGAACCTAACCTTCCTTCCAAGGGTGGAATAGAGAGAGGGAGGAATAGTAACTGAGAGTAGAGGAATGAATAAATGAGTTATATAACAAGTCCTGAGAATCATCCTAGCAAATTATTAAACAAGTGGGGAGGTGTGTGGGAACTCCTGACTTTGTAACCAAGTCAGACAGAAGTGCAGATAACCTGGGCACTGGTACTTGAGACTGGTGTCTGAAGTGGGGGCAGTATTGTGGAACTGAGCCTTTAACCTGTGGGGTCTGTGCTAACACCAGGAACTAGTATTAGAGCTGAACTGCGTTGAATCGAATTGTTGGATACCAAGTTACAGTCTAGAGAGTCGGAGAATGGGTTTGTTGGTGTTAGAAAACACCCCAAACTTTCTATAGTAAACATATATTACTTTTATAAAGGAAGAGAGTAAAATAAATTTTATTTTATTTTACTTTACTTACCTCATTTTATTTTATTTTTTGAGTCAGAGTCTCACTCTGTTGCCCAGGCTGGAGTGCAGTGGCATGCTCACAGCCACCCCAGCATCGACCTACTGGGCTCCAGCGATTCTTCTGCCTCAGCCTTCCAAGTAGCTGGAATTACAGGAGTACACTACCACGCCTGGCTAATTTTTTGATATACTATAGAGACGAGGTCTCAGTAAGTTGCCCAGGCTGGTCTTGAACCCCTGGGCTCAGGCAATCCTCTCGCTTTGGACTCCCAAAGAGCTGGGGTGGTAACAGGCTGGCCTGGCCAATAAACATTATTTTAAAAGTAAAGTTAATATAACTTGAACACTGAATAAGCACCTTAAATTCTCAAAATTTGCTAATATTCTATAACTATTAAATGCAAATATTTGTGAAATGAACAGAACTGAGTCACTCCTAACTAAACCCACAAATGCAAGTTTTCCTTGGAGAGCTGATTTCTCTTCATACTAAGCCTTCTCCTATCCACAGCCGTTCGTTTTCACCCGTACACCATGGCTTACCTCCTATGTCTTCATCTTCATTGGCTGGGCCTTCTGCACTGTCCACATTTTCTATTTCATGAGGTTTGGTTAAATTGTAGTCATTCAAAACAGCTGGGCTTTCTAAAAGATAAAAAGAGTTTAAATATGCAGTCAATTTTAAGGGATTTTTATAAATATGTATTAAGTAGACCCCCATTTAATTTTCAGTTTCACCTAAACCTTTAGTGACAGATGGTATTCCTTCACATCTACTCAAAAGGGATATATGTGAAAACGCTTGAGCTTTAGAAATATATGACCAGGGCTCTGATTCCCTTGGTGAGAAAAGAAAAAAAGAAAAAAGAAATACGCCCAGGGTTCATGTATCCTTCCAATATACATAACTTTCTTGAATATTTCTTTCATCTGAGCTAAAATGCACTCATGTTCCTTCTGGACAAAAATTCTCTCTCCAATGGTATATTTCATGATATGTAGTAGTATGCCATTGTTACTTATGACCAAGAAGTGTTAATACGTAGTTATGAGAAATACGGAGCCTGAAAACAGTGGCATAACCCAAGATGTTTTTCTATGAGGAAGCCTGTAAACTTCTGTATGCCAAATTCTGTTTTCCCCTTCTGTTCTCATTATAAATGTGATTCTATGAAAAACATATTGGACCCAAGTTCCATTATTTCTTGGAACATTTACTAGATGCTGACAAGGTTACACACATGAATAAGTCATTATGCCTGTCTTCAAGGAGCTAATACTTTACAGACGTAGATAAGAGAAGCCAACAACTATAATTCGAGATAGACTCAGACAAAAGATTAAAGGGAATACGAAGTGTCATAGAAGTTCACAAGTGAAAGGGAACAGATATTACAAAAGTATGCTTTAATACATAGCAAACTTGCTAAAAATCAAGTTTGAGGGAAAAATAATTTTGTATGATATTGATAATAGTAGAAGTAAGAAAAGAAGACCAATGTAGCTGGAATTATTTTCACATATAAGCATAGTAACTTAACAAAAAGATGATAACAGAAGAAATGAACTGAAAGTTACCTTCTTTCTGCTCAACTCCTTCCCAATATTCAGTAAAATACTTACTGAGTACCCACTAATGCAACAAATAGTCAAAAACACTGAATCCTGTGGCATTTAAGCTAGGGAAGGTGACTATAAACTCTGACAGAGGCATTCCTTTCAGCTGCAGCTATGACAGAACATATGCACTAAACTAGAAGCACATTTCATAAAATCCATCACTAAGAGGCCCCAAAAATGTAGTCACCATGGACTCCATTTTTGACTAATGAATACCCAAGTTGTCTAATTTTTATATGTTATAATGTTTACTCTATGAACTCTAAGATACTGTTCTAAACAGTGGCTCACTTTTCTCAAGCCTGCAATGACTAAAATACAGTGCACACCTAAATAATTAATATGAGGTTCACTTCAATGAAAATATGAGGTTACGCTGGGCTCGGGGGCTCAGTCTGTAATCCCGCGCCTTTGGGAGGCTGAGGAGAGTGGATTGCCTGAGCCTGCGGGTTCGAGACCCGCCTGGGCAACTTGGCGAGACCTCATCTCTACAACAAATCAAAAATTAGCCGGGCGTGGTAGCGCACGCCTGTAATTCCGGCTACTCGGAAGGCTGAGGCGGAAGGATCGCTGGAGCCCAGCAGGTCGAGGCTGCAGTGGCCAGGATCAGCCACTGTACTCCAGGCTGAGGGACAGAGTGAGACTCCAACTCAAAAAAAAAAAAAAGAAGAAAATATGAGGTTACAACTCACAGTAACACAAAAAGGCACTTAAGTGATAAATTTTGTAATATAATATAACCTTAGGCTTAAGGTGAGTTAATTGATGGAGAAAACATAGAAGCTATTTTTCAGAAATAAACTATTTTACATGTTTATAATTTATTCTAGAGCAGGAATCAGCAAACTATGGCCTGGGAACCATGTTTGACCATAGCATGTCTCTGAAAGGGCCCAGGAGGTAAGAATGGTTTTTACATTTTTTTTTTTTTTGAGTTGGAGTCTCACTCCGTCACCTAGACTGGAGTGCAGTGGCCGCTCGCAGCCACCACAGCCTCAACCTGCTAGACTCGGGCGATCCTTCCACCTCAGCCTTCCAAGTAGCTGGAACTACAGGCGCGCGCTACCACACCCTGCTAATTATTTATTGTAGAGATGAGGTCTCGCCAAGTTGCCCAGGCGGGTCCTGAACTCGTGGGCTCAGGCAATCCACTTATCTCGGCCTCCCAACGTGCTGGGATTACAGGTTGAGCCACCGAGCCTGGCCGGTTTTACATTTTTAAAGGATTGTAAAAAATACAAAGAATATGTGACAGAGACCCTACGTGGCCTGCAGTCTAAAATATTTACTAACTGGCCTTTACAAAAAAGTTTGCTGACCACAGTTCCAGAGGAAAAAGCACAAGTTGTTGAAATGCAAGCTACTATATTACTCAGCAAAAACTGTCTTTATCCAAATCAATCAGTTGAAAAATTAAAAAAACTAAAAATTTAAAAAATTTAAAAACAGCGATCAACATAAAGTAGATTATGGTTTGGACCTAAAAGAACTTACGTGATCTAAATGTATGAGTTACATTTTAACGAGCAAGAGGCAACCGCGTTTAAAAAAACACACACATCTCCATGGCATTTTTACTATAATCAGAATAAACATATTCCGTTTTCTTTGATATTTTTAGTAAAGGCATATTTCTAGAGACTAAAGACCTGATATTACCTGTGGGCACAGACTGCTCCTGAGTCCTTTTCAGTTCCACATTTGGTTGTATATCTGAAAAGAAAGAAGTTATAAATATTAGCTACTTAGGGTACATCTCTATCGATGTGAGCATTCCAAATTTAATAACCATATCATTTTGGAAAAACTTAGAAGCAGAATTCCTCTTTCAGATCAGGATTACTCTTCCTCTATACCAGAGGTGTCTAACATTTTGGCTTCCCTGGGCCACAACGAACACAGAGGAACTGTCTTGGGCCACACATAAATTAGATAATATAGCTAGTGCATATACATAATAAGAGTTTTTTGTATTTTTATTAGAAAAATGAGAACAATATAAAAGTAGTGGGAAATTTGAACCTTATTTTTGTAAAACTAATCTATCAATGTCTGGTTCGATGGAAGTGGTCGCAATTCTTAGTGACTTCTCAAGGGGCTCATCAGAAATGTTTGTTCGAATTTTGCTTTTCATGCGCTTCATAATTGAAAACAATTGCTCACAAATGTATGTGCTGCCAAAAAGCGATATGAATAAGGCATGATTGTGAACTCCAAAAATGGAGCTATGCAAGAGATCATGAAGAACATAAACACTAAAAAACATATAATGTTAAAAGATTTTGTGGGGGCGCATTAATAGTTGTCCTGGGCCACATGTGGCCCATGGGCTGCAGGTTGGATATGTCTGCTTCATACCTTCCCTAAAAAAGTGCCTCAAGGAGAATGAAAGGAATTATTGATGCAGCAACGTTACTCTAAGAACTTTTTACCAGAGACCTACTCATACCAAGAACAACAAGCAAGAAGTGGGTCCCATTAGAAAGAATTTCAGATATTCTTTCTTATTCTCTCCTCCCAATATTTTATTATAAACATTCTCAAACATATAGAAAGAAAAGTTAGAAGTAGTATACTTCTATACACACTGGAATACTATTCGTCCACACACAAAAAAGAAAAATCATGTCATTTGCAATAACAATGCATGGAAATAGAAGTCATTATGTGTTTGGTTTTGTTTTTTAATAGAGATGGGAGTCTCACTATGTTACCCAAGCTGGTCTCAAACTCATGGCCTCAAGCAATTCTCCTGCCTCGACCTCCCAAAGTGCTGGGATTACAGGCATGAGCCACCGCACCCGGCCAGAATCATTGTTAAGTGAGATAAGTCAGGCACAGAAAGACAAATATCGCATGTTCTCACTCATATGTGGGAGCTAAAAAAGTTGATTTAATGGAAGTAGAGAGTAAAATAATAGATAGACTGGAAAGGTGTACGGGTGGAGGGAATGAAGAGAGGCTGGTTAATGGGTACAAGCATACAGTTTAATAGAAAGTGTAAGTTCTAATGTTCAACAACAGAGGAGGGTAACCGTAGTTCATAGCAATGTATTGTATATTTCTTTCTTTTGTTTTTTTTTTGAGTTGGAGTCTCACTCTGTCACCCAGACAGGAGTGCAGTGGCTGCTCCCGGCCTCCGCAGCCTTGACCTGCTGGGCGCCAGCGATCCCTCTGCTTCAGCCTTCCAAGTAGCTGGAACTACAGGTGCGTGCTACCACGCCCAGCTAATTTTTTATTTTATTGTAGAGATGAGGTCTCACCAAGTTGCCCAGACGGGTCTTGAACCTGTGGGCTCAGGCAATCCACTCACCTCAGCCTCCCAAAGTGCTGGGATTACAGGCTGCGCCACGGAGCCCGGCTTTTTGGCCTTTCTTAAACAAATGCGCCTGGCGGATCTTTAAAGTTGCAACTTGCCTTTCAAAAGGAAATACCTTTAACTGCTGCTGGGCTAGTGGGAGATATTCAGTCAACCCAGGTGAGGCCAACTGCTGTTCCTGAACCAGCTACATGTTTCTGTGTTTATTCACTCAATCATACAAGAAATATATTTGAGCATTTGCCACATCCTGCCACATTGTCATAGAGTGTGTTTTACATACTTTTTTTTTTTCCTGAGTCAGAGTCTCACTCTGTCGCCCAGGCTGGAATGCAGTGGCATGCTCACTGTCACTGCTGGGCTCAGGTGATCCTTCTGCCTCAGCCTTCCAAATAGCTGGAACATCACCACACCTGGTTAATTTTTTGATTTATTGTAGAGATGAGGTCTCGCCAACTCATCCAGGCTGGTCTCAAACCTGTGGTCTCAGGCAATCCTCTCACTTTGGCCTCGCCTCCCAAAGTGCTGGGATGATAGACGTGAGCCACTGTGCCCGGCCGAGTATGTTTTCTATTTCAATTAGCAAATGTTTCTGAAGAATGCGTTTCTTCTGTCCTGTGTCTCAAACTGGCATGAATGCATTGTGTTCTGCCTTGCCATCAAATGTGAGGGGCTCCAGCCAAAGCTATGTGACCATCTTTGTGTACCTCCTGCTTCAAACACGTCTCTTTACTTGGCAGCTGAGACCCCTTTGAAGATCTCAGGCTTTGAAGATTTCAGAAGATGATACGTTTGGATCAGTTTGATTTTGGGGAATCCTTATTCACATACAGCAGAAGTACAATGTGATGACGACACAGCTCAGCACTGGGGCTCTGTCATTCTTGTCGCTCTAATTCAAGTAGCTGTCTATAGCCCTCAGGCTCCCTCACTCTGTGGTTCTACGTGACTAAGTCCTGCAAAGCACAGTGGCCCTTTCTCAGGAAGTGGGCACCCTCTTCCACCCACAGTAAGCAGCTGCTCCTGCAGTCTTGACCCAGATCTGCCCATGACTCTGAGTGTTCAGTTTCATTCTCCAGTTAGCTCTATTAGGAGCAAAGCTGGGATTTTGACCTTCATCCACCTGATTCCATGTTTTATGGCGTGTTCTGGTGGTGCTCACCTTCTTCTTCATATCACATCTGAGGTGCATGTGGATGATGGAAATGGAGCAAGGCAGTTTTTTTTTTTTTTTTAGTTTATGAAAGTTTATGAAGTCAGTATCTGCACATGCACAGAAGACTAGATATTGAGTACCAAAACCACTGAAATATCGATAGCGGTTATCTCTGGATGGTAGAATTCATGGCAATATTTATTTTTTGTGTGTTTTCCTGCAATTTCTAAATTAATGTAGGTTGAATAAGCTTTTGCGTTAACATAAAGGCACACGTTTTAGTTTTAGGCTAAAAAGCAGATTAGAGTTATTTCTGGTAAGTGTCCCAAGGGGACTACATCCAAGGTGCCATGCTGGTCTGTTGCAGCTTCCAAAAGGGGAGATCGGAGGCGATGACAGACCAGTAAAGGGAAGTGAGGTCTCTTGGGGTGTTTTTTTGTGATTCTTTTTATTATAAAGATTTGGGGTACAATTCGGGGTTAGGTATACAAACATCGATCATGCAAGTACCCTTGTGGATGAGGTATGCCCCTCCCTCCCCTAGCAGTTTCCCTCAACTGCCAATCCCTCCCCCACTCCCCTGACAGTTTCCCACTACTGCCAATCCCTTTCTTATGGTATTATAATTGTTCAAGGTGCAGTCATAAAGTAGGACAAATATATGGACTTTGCAGCAACTTGGATGGATTTGGAGTCGATCATACTCAGTGATCTATCCCAGAAACAAAGAACAGAGTGCCATATGTTCTCACTCATAAGGAGTCAGGCAGTTTTGAAGGCTCATGGCCTGTAAGTCCAGTGGTTTGTCCTGACGCCTGTCCTCAGCTAGCTCCACACTGAGGATTTCTTCTTCACCGAAGGGAAGAGATGCTCGATGAGGCCTGCTTAGCACCTAAAGTGTCTCTTTCACTCCCCTCCTTCTTCAAGGTCCAATTTCAGTCTCCTCTCCTCGATGAAGCCTCCTTGACCACCAAAACCCACAGACATATTGTCATCTCAACGATGGTCACCAACTTAGCTCTACCGAGTACCTGTGTTGTTCCAGCTGTTGGATTGAAGAATGCAGATTGACACACATGAATGACAAGATTCCCACTCTTGAAGGAGACACTATTTGTAGGAAATGTCACAACCCTTGTTATTGTATCACTGTGGAATGCAGCCTTGTCAACAGCTCCAGGGTTCGTGTAGTTTTCTTTGTGAATGGTGCCCCCTAGTGTTCTGCAACTTGAAGGGCAAGTTGATGGAATGCTAATCTGATATTGCTATCTTTTTAAAAAAACTAATTAAAAACTTTTTGAGGGTAAGGGCTCTATTTTGGTAATTTGTGTATCCTTATGCACAGGGTTTAGCATGCTGATTTTTTAAAATCAAAATTCAGGAAATACTCAATTGAGTTATTGAAATAGCCTTCCTGGTGAGATTATCAAATTAACTTGTACACTGTTGTGGGAGCAGTTGGATACTGATTCCTTCTCCATCATGGTGAGGGGGTGGAGAGGAAGATAAATAATTCATTTTCATGAAGTTCTCCAGGTAATTCTCGTCAGACCATTTTAAAAATGTTGTGTCAGGTTTTGGCATGCGAAATATCAGGAAGCAGACCGACTGACACGAAACTCTTCAATATACCACAAACAGCTGAGAAATTGTAGTCAGGGCCCATGAGAAATCTCCATATAATATGATAGACTGCAACTACAGAAACTCCAAACGAACAAAATTAACAAGTACTTAAAGGGAAGAGAAAGATTTTGATTAAATTGTGATATTGTAGTTGCCTATTGTTGCATAACAGACAAATCCAAAACCATGTGGTTTGAAACAAAAATGAGATATTATTTCTCATGATGGTGTGGGTGGGCTGGGCTCAGCTGGGTGGTTTCTCAGCTCCATGTGGTGAAACTGTGGTCACTCATGCAGCTGTATTCAGCTGGAAGCTTGGCTGGGGCTGGAACATTCAAGAGGCCCTCATGTGGTCCAAGGCTTTCTTCTGGTAACATCTCATCATCCAGGAGTCTAACCCCAGCTGCCCTGTAGCATGTCAACTGACTTCCAAAAGGAGGAAGCAGAAGCTGCCAACTCTCTTTCTTTCTTTTTTTAAAATATAGTTTATTTAAAAGTAAATTAGGGAGAGAGAGGGAGAAAGAGAAGATGGACCTCCCCAAGTTGGGGGAGGGGACCAAAGCCAGAAAGCATGGCGACAGCCATAGCTCAAAGAGCACATGGCCACACCAG